TCTGAAGATGTTATAAAGGAGACACAAAGTAGTATTAGTCTTGGGTTACAGTTGTAGTCTGTATATTTCTATTGGAAAAAGGTAAGGCATATCCATCCTTGGGCAAATCGTAATTCTCCTGGGACACGGTTTCTTCGGAAGTAAAACAATGGGATTGAATTAGATCATCTCTAAAATCTCTTGAAGCTCTAAGATTCTTTGTATGCCAAATGAGAGGAACATATATGGTGCTGTTTGATAAGCATGGGGCTGCTAACTACAAGGTCGATGGTTCAAACCCTCCAGTCGCTCCTTGAAAACCTTATACTGGGTTACTATGAGTTGGAACTGACTTGCCAGCACTTAACAACAATCTATTATATTAGGGAGTGTGGTAACTTGGTACCATAAGCACTGGATTACAAATCACAAAGTCAGTGGTTCAAGCACACCAGCCACTCCGTCGGAGAAAGCTGGGTTTTTTTTGATCCCGTAAAGATAACAGCCTTAGAAATCCAATTCAGGGTCACTATAAGTTGGAACCAACTCGCCGGTCCTTAACAACATCTACTGCAGTAAAACTTACCAAAACCTCAACCTCTGGTAGATGGAACGCTGTCAGAGAGTAAAACTAAATAAACACAAATGGACTCAAAGTTTATGAAAAAAAGTCTATTATTATTATTTTTTAAGTTTTTACTGTGAATTGAGTGATAGTTTACATAGGAGAACATCAGTTTTACACTCATCCTATCATATTTCATTCCATTGCAATTATTACAATTCCCTCTATGCATCATCATTCAAATCATTCAACAGTATTTGCTCCTTTCCTTTTCTTTTTTTTTTTGAATGTACACAAAAACACTCAGGAATCATTTAAACAACCAACCAAAGAGCACATTCTGCAAGCTTGCCTCTGGCTGCCAACACACAGTCTTTCTCTTTCCATGAGTCTACAGTCCTCAGCTACTCTATCTCTCTATGTCCTCATCTCTGCCTCCATCTCTGGTGTCGCTGCTTCTCTGGATAGGGTCTCATATTCTATTTATGCTCTTCTCCTTTGATGGTCCTAGGGTTTTCTGTTCCTGGATTGTAAGATTAACTACTCTCCCAAATTCTATTATTTTTTCATTCCACTTTTCCACAAACTTTATGAAGTATCCTGGTAACAACCCTGGAGGGGAGGTCAATATAAGATAAAAGCAGCTATGTAACTTAAGGAGTAGACTGACTCCTAGCGACACCATATGTTTCAGAGTAGGACTTTCTCCACGGAGTTTTCAGTGGCTGATTCTGGGGGGAACTAGATGGAAGGAATATACAGTATGGTACCAGAAAGAATTGGGTGACCATTTTATGAGGTAGCACATGATCAAGAACCAATGGTAATGAAGGAAGGAGTCTAAGTTGTATTGAATGCATTAGCAAGACTCCAGGAATTGGTGGACTATGAATGGAAATGTTTCAACAAATCCATGTAGTGCTGGAACACTCACTAGTCTACACCAAGAAATTTGGAAGACAGCTACCTAACCAACTGAATGGAAGAGATCTATATTTGTGCCCAGTCCAAAGAAGGTAATCCTACAGAATATGGAAATTACTGAATAATACAATTAATATCATACCAAGTAAAAGTTTGTTGAAAATCATTCAAAAACCATTGCGGCATTGTATCAACAGGGAGCTGCTAGAAATTCAAGCTGGATTTAGACGAGGATATGGAACCAAGGCCATCAGATGGATTTTGGCTGAAAGCAAAGAATACCAGAAAGATGTTTACTTGTGTTTTATTTATTATGCAAAGCCACTCAACTGTGTGGATCACAACAAATTATGTTTAATATTGAGAAGAATGGGATTTCCAGAAGACTTTATTGTGTTCATGAGAAACCTATAGATAGACCAAGAGGTCATCAATAGACCAGAACAAGGGGATGGTTTAAATTCAGGAAAGGGGTGCACCAGGGCTGTATTTTTTTTTTTCCCATACTTATTCAATCCATATATTGAGCAAATAATCTGAAAAACTGAATTCTTTGAAGAACAGCGTGGCATTGGGATTGGAGGAAGGCTTGTTAATATAATATGCAGATGACACAAATTTGCTTGCTCAAAGTAAAGAGGACTTGAACTACTGCTGAAAACCAAAGCCTTCAGTGTGGATCACACCTCAACGTAAAGAAAACAAAAATCCTCACAATTGGGATCATAAACAACATCATGATAAAAGAAAAGATTGAAATAATCAAAAACTTCATTTTACTTGGATTCACAGTCAACACTCCTGAAAGCTGCAGCCAAGAAATCAAAAGATGTATTGCAATGGGCAAATTGGTTGCACAAGACCTCTTTTAAAGTTAATGAGTAAAAATGTCAACACCTGGAAGACTAGGGTGCTCATATGCATGAGATAAGGAAGAACATAGAAGAATTGAGGACTCTGAATTATGATGTTGGAGGAAAATACTGAAAGTACCAAGGGACTACCAAAAGAACAAACAAATCTGTCTTGGAAGAAGTCCTGCCAGAGTGCTCCTTGGAAGTGAGCATGATGGAGAATTCACCTCATATACTTTGGAAGGACCAGTTCCTGGAAACGGACATCATGCTTTGTAAAGTAGAGGGTCAGCGAAGAATAGGAAGGCCCTCAACAAGACAGAGAGACACAGTGGCTGCAATGGGCTCAAACCTACAACCCCCGTGAGGATGGCACAGGACCAGACACTGTTTCGTTCTGTTCTGCATAGGGTCGCTATGAATAGGTGCCTTTCCTCCAAGGTGGCTCTGGGTGGACTCGAATCTCTAACCTTTCAGTTAGCAGCAATATCAGTTCTACAGTATCTTTGGTTGTCGTTAAGTGGTGTCCAATATATTTCAACTCAAAGTGATCCCATGTAACAGAGTAGATCTACCTCTTACGGTTTTCTAGGCTGTCATTTTAGAGGGCCAGATTCAGGTCTTTCTCTTGCAGAGTTAGTGGGTTGGTTCCAACCACCAACCTTTTGATTTGCAGGGGAGCACTTAACTACTGTGCTACCAGGGCTCCTTATCACAAACAATCTGTTGATTAACGACAATTTCCTTCAAGAGTAAACATGATATTGAAACCTGTATCTTTTTTTTTTTTTTTTTGCATGTAGAAATTCATTTCATTAAGATAATCTAGCTGCTTATTCTTTGAGGGTATTAAGGGCTGTCTTAGGAGAATTTTATTGGAAAACCTTAACCCCTCCACCCTACAAGCCCGGTCTTGCTAATTCAGTCAGTCATAGCTTTGTTACCCAAACTCAGACACTATATAATAGAAGCATAATTTGAGTTCCTCGAAGATGCCTAAACTACCATTTTGCTGTGGTGTGATTCAAACAGCAAAGAAGGAAACCAGGATCTTATATCCGTGATGTGTCTGCAATATGACTCCTTTCGGGTCCTGAAAACTGAGTGAGAATAGGGCAATACAAACTTACCAGAGAATTGGAAATAACAACAATAAGACAGGACCTCAAATCTGAACGAGTGAGAAATATAAACTCCCATAAAAGCCAAGAAAAGATCATCAAGCTCTGTATCTATCGTCCTGGGGTCCTGGTGTGGCACTGTGGGTTAATGCGCGGGACTGCAAAGCCGGTTTGAACTGCAAGGTCGGCGGTTCAAGCTCACCAGTTGCTCCTCGGAAACTCTATGTAGAGGTGCTATGGGTCGGAACTGACTCGACAGAACTTGACAACAATCTATCGTCCCATCCACTATAACTCAAGATAACATTCTGCGTAAGTTACTGATTCAGACTGGAGAGAAACAAACTTTAAAATGGGTCAAGTATCCAAGTATCGCTGGCAGGCACTCATGCATTGTTGTTAAGTGCTGCTGGGTTGATTCCGACTCTTAGCAACCGTGTATATGGTTTCCAAGGAGCAGCTGGTGAGCTTGAACCACTGACTTTGCAGTTCAATTGGCTTTGAAGTCTGGCGCATTAACCAACAGCGCCACACCAGGACTCCCCAGAACTCACTAAGTACCCACTAAGGATCACTGGCAGGCAGAACTAAACTAAACAGTGTTCGGCAGAGGAGGGAACGACAGAACACTTCCCCCAGTGGCCACTGCCCACTCTTCTGCTAGCAGGCATTTCTTTCGCGCTGTTTCGACCAAAAACAATCTAGAGAGCACAAATTAATTTTAAAAACCCCAAAAAACAAAAGCATAAAAAACCCAAAACACCTTCTAAGAAAAAGCAATTGAGGTGGAAAAGAACAAACAAAAGCCTTCGATGAAGCTCAACTCTTCCCTGGGTTCGCAGCAAACACCTTCCTGAACATTCCTTTACACAAGAACGAGGAACTCGCTGCCCGCGCAGACTCCAGAAATCCCTCCCTGGCGCCCTCGGCTGAGAGCCGGGGCCCCGAAAAAGCGCCAGGAGGCGGCGCCGCGGCCGTCACCCCGCCGCCACCGCAGGCCCCGAGCCGCGCGGGCTCAACAAAGGGAGCGACCCCGTGGCCTCAGGTCCAGACGCACCCGGGGAGCGAGCACTCGGCAGATCCTCCCGCAGGGCTCACAGCGCACCCCGAATCCCGAGGCACGGCCTGGAGGGCGGGTGCGGGGCCGGACGGGGCCGGACAGGTCCGCGACCTGGACTGCAGAGGCCCCGGCTTCCTCCCCGAGCTTGCCACCCCGCCCGGCTCATCCGGCGCCCGCTCTGTCCCCAGTCAGGTAACCGGACCCTGCTTCCACAGTTCCCGAACCCTTCCCACAGTTCCCGAACCCCCATATCCACAGTCCCCAGTCAGATCACCCCCGAGCCTCCACTCCCCCTGTCCCTGGCCAGGCAATTGGACCCCCGTTTCCACCATCCTGGGCAGGCGATCCCTGACCCTCCGTTCTCACTATCTCCGGCCAGGTCACCCCGACCCCCTGTCCCCCCGTCCCGGGCCAGGCCGTCCCTGAACTCCGTTCCTCTGGCTCCAGCCCCGCTGCTCTCCCGCCTTGCCCAGCTCCCTGCAGCACCGGGTACTCACACACGCAAAGCTCCACCACGTACGCGTAGTAGGACCAGACCACCACGAAGGTGATGAAGACCACCGGTACCCAACCCACGGTGCGCTGGCAGCAGCGCCAGAACGTCCACGGCGCCATGTTCTGCGGGCGACGACCGTGCCCAGCGCCCCGCACTAGGGAGACGCGCCAGGTCCCCTGCGGTGGCGACGCGGGCGTTCGGGGCGAGGCCTCGCCTAGGTCCTCTTCCTCCAGGGAAGGGCTCACTGACTGGAAAGCCGGGGGTGTTTCCAAGGCTCCGCCTCTCACAACGCCTGGCCTGGCCCCGCCCCTGCCCCGCATGCCTCCGGCCGCTGCGCCGCCCCGCTGGCCGCAGCCGGTTGCTGCCGGTTACCGTCGGGGGGCGGGGCTTCCGCAGCTGAGGAGGCGGGGCCGGGGGCGGGGAATCGCACGTACTGGCTAGGCTAGACTCTGTGAGGGAACCCCCTCGGCGGGAAACACCCCCTGCTTTAGTCGGAGGACCCGGAAGCCTTGAAGGGGGCGGCTACAAACATTGTTCCTTCGCTTATTTGTAGGCCTAGAGCGAATAGGACTCTCTGATCTCCCTGTGTGCACAACTCACTCGCCTGAGGTCCCATAGACCCTAATGAACAAAACAAACCAAACCAGTTGCCCTTGAGTCATTCCAGACTCCAGAGGAATCCAGCCAAGTGCATGGGAGGTTTTATCCAACCTCACAAGGCCCTGGCACACCCCAGGGTGCAGGCGGAGAATGTGTTCTGTTCCTACACCGACTCTGGGCTCGTCTGTGGTTCATAACCCTTTGTGATCCACGTTTCAGTGGAAACCCGTTCATTTTTCAAAGATAAAACTGGTAGATACTTGTGATCCTGGTCTGTCGTTTTTATATGAAACCCAAATTTAAGGTTGAGTGAGAAGAAGAGCTTGTAGAGGAAGGACTCTGTCCCTGCCTTAGAGACCACTGTTTAATTCTTTAAATTCCAGAATCTATTTAGAATTGGAGAACCTAGAAGCATCACTGTGCAGACATCATAATGCAAGGTCAAGATCAAAGGAAGTGATTCCAAATAGCATTGTTAATACTAATTCTTGTTACTTGTATGCTAACTTTGATTAGACTAAGTTTTTAATTTGCTATTGTTCACTAACATCTCCATGAAACAGTCCTGTGTAAAATGTAATATATGGGTTGCTGTATTGTAGGTCATTGCTGATGTCTGATGGACCTTGGCTGAAAGCAGAGAATATCAGAAGGATGTTTACCTGTGCTTTATTGACTACGCAAAGGCTTTCGATTGTGTGGATCATGACAAGCTATGGACAACATTGAGAAGTATGAGTATTCCAGAACACTTAATTGTACTTCTAAGAAATCTGTACCTAGACCAAGAAGCAGTTGTTCGAACAGAACATGGAAACACTGAATGTTTTAAAATTGTGAAAGGTGTGAGACAGGGTTGTATTCTTTCACCATACTTATTCAACCTGTATGCTGAGCAAATAATACGAGAAGCTGGGTTCTATGAAGAAAAACGTGGCATCAGGATTGGAGGAAGACTCATTAACAACCTGCGATATGCAGATGATACAACCTTGATCGCTGAAAGTGAAGAGGACTTGAAACATTTACTTATGAAGATTAAAGAGCACAGCCTTCGATATGGATTACATCTCAATGTCAAGAAAACAAAAATCCTCACCACTGGACCAATAAACAACATTCTTATCAATGGAGAAAAGATTGAAGTTGTCAAGGACTTCATTCTTCTTGGATCAACTATCAACACTCGCGGAAGTAGCAGTCAAGAGATCAGACGACGTATTGCACTGGGCAAATCTGCTGCACAGGAACTTTTTAAAGTGTTGAAGAACAGAGATGTCAGCTTGAGGACTAGGGTGCGCCTGACCCAGGCCATGGTGTTTTCAATAGCCTCATATGGATGCGAAAGCTGGACAGTGAATAAGGAGGATCGTAGAAGAATTGATGCCTTTGAGTTGTGGTGTTGGAGGAGAATACTGAAAGTGCCATGGACTGCCAAAAGAACCAATAGATCTGTTTTGGAAGAAGTGCAGCCAGAGTGCTCCTTGGAGGCCAGGATGGCTAAGCTTCATCTCTCCTACTTTGGACATATTGTCCGGAGGAAACAATCGTTGGAGAAGGATGTCATGCTGGGTAGGGTGGAGGGTCAGAGAAAAAGAGGAAGACCCCCAACGAGATGGATCAGCCAGGTGGCATCATTGATGGACTCAAGTGTGGCAGCAGTAGTGAGGTTGGCCCAGGATCGAACATTGTTTCGTTCTGCTGTGCATGGGGTCACTATGAGTCGGTTCCGACAACAACAATTGTAGGTCAGTAAAACAGAATGTATCACTGCGTGGTCCTCTGCCGTCCCCACCGTCATTTCTATGTTTGAGCCCACTATTGAAGCCACCGGGTCAACCCATCTCTTTGAGGGTCTTCCTCTTCTTCACTGACCCTCTACCAAACATAATGTTCTCCCAGGACTGATCCTTCCTGATAACTTGTCTGTCTAAAGTACCTTAGACAAAGTCTCACTATCCTAGCTTCTGAAGAGTGTTCTGACTGCACTTATTTCAAACAGATATGCTCCCTTTGTTGTTAGGTGCCATCAAGGAGGTTCGGACTCATAGGGACCCTGTATAGGTGTTCTGAGGAGTGGCTGGTTAAGTATGAACCACAACCTTGTGGTTAGCAGTCCAGTGCTTATCCTAAAAAACGACAGCAAGATTCTGGTGGTTGTTGTTAAGTGCTAGAGTCAGTTCTAACTTATTGTGACCCTGCAGAGGATTTCCAAGGAGTGGTTAGTGGGTTTGAACTGCCAACCTTGTGGTTAGCAGTCCAGTACTTATTCTACAGCACCACACCAAGACTTCAAGGACTCTGGTAGTTCATGGTATAGTCAATATTCTTTGTCAACACCATAATTAAAATGTATCCATTTTTATTTGGTCTTCCTTATTCATTTTCCAGCTTTTAAATGCATTGTAGTTGCTGTTGTTAAGTACCACTGAGTCAGTTCTGACTCATAGCATCCCTGTTTAAGGTTTCTGAGGAGAGGCTGGTGAGTTTGAGCCACTGACCTTGGGATTCAAACCAACCTTGTGATCCAATGCTTATCCTACAGTGCCACATCCAGATATGCATATGAAACTAATAAACCAAGCCCACTGCCATGGGGCTGAATTACAACTCCTGGCAGCCCTACACGGCACAAGAGCAAACAGCCACATCTTTCTCCCAAGGCTTGAACTGCCAACCTTGCTGTTAGCAGTCCAATGCTTAATCCACAGTGTCACAAAAGCTCATTACATGCGTACGAAGGGACTGAAAATACCATGGCTTTGGCTAGGCGCATTTTAGACCTCAAAGTGACCTCTTTGACTTTATTATTGTTGTTCTTAAGTGTTGTGGAGTTGTTTCTGACTCACAGTGAGCCTGTACAGAGTTTCCAAGGCTTCTAAAATCTTTGCAAGAACAGAAAACCTCATCTTTCTCCCACGGAGTTGCTGGTGGACTTGAACTGTGGACTTTGTGGTTAGCAGTCCAATGCTTATCATATGGAGCCACCATGCTCTCTTTAACACTTTAAAGAGGGCTTTTTCAGCAGTTTTTCCCAATGAAATATGTCATTTCCCAATGAAATATGACTTGTGCATCCATAGTGTTGAATGTGGATCCGATTAAAATAAAATTCTTGACAAGGTCAAATATTTTCTCTGTTTATCATGATGTTGTTTATTGGTCTTCTAGTGAGGATTTTTATTTTCTTAATGCTAAAGTGTAATGTATACTAAGGGTTGTGGTCTTTGATCTTCATCTGTAGGTGTTACAAATCCTGTTAGAGTTCAGCAAGCAAATTTGTGTAATCTGCATATCACAGGTTGTTAATGACTCTTCCTCCAATCCTGACACAGCACCATTCTTCTTCATATAGTCCAGTTTCTTGGATGATTTGCTGAGCATAAAAGATTGAATAAATATGGTAAAAGGATACAACCCTGATGCACCTTTCCTGATTTTAAACCATGCAATAATCTCTTGATCTGTTTGAACTGCCTCTTGGTCTATGTACAGGTTTCACATGCGTACAATTAAGTGTTCTAGAATTCCCATTCCCTGTAATGCGATCCATAATTTGTTATGATTCACCTAAATACTTTGGTATTGTCAATAAAAAACAGGGAGCCATCTTTCTGGTATTCTCTGCTTTTCGCCAAGATCCATCTGACGTCTCCTACTCATAGAAACCCTATAGGACAGAATGAAACTGACACATAACGTTCCTAAGGCTGGAATTGTTCAGAAGCAGATTCTACATCTTTATCCCACAGAACAGCTCGGGGTTCAATAAACAACATTTGGTTAGCAGTCAAATGCTTAACCACTGTGTTACCAGGGTGTCCTTCCTTTTCCACGTTTGACCAGTGATTTTTCTTCACCTCTGCTGAGGATCACTGAAACACTTCAGACACAGTAGTGCTGTTAGGGAATTAACATTTTATAACAATCACTCTGGTTGTGATGGGAAGAATGGATTGGAGGAAAGACAGACTAGAGACAGGGAAGCCAGTTAGGAGCAGTGACAATCATACAGGCAAGGGGTGGCCTGAACTAGAGTTGAGGCAATGGAGAAGTTGATAGGAAAGCTATTTAGAACTTCAGATCAACTTTGATGTGCCCATTCTACTCCAAAACCAGAGCAATAATGGATAAAATTTCAAAAATAGACAGGCCAAGAGACAAACTCAAGTTGAAACAAACAACACTATGATCCAAATACAACAGAAATGCAAAGTCCTGAAAAAGCTTGGGATAAGGCCCATAGAGGTCTTGATCCAGAAACAAATGTTAATGGCCAACAGGAAAAGTGGTGCAGTTGGAAGGAGGGGTATGAAATCAGAGACAAGCTCAGTGCCAATGGACCAACTCATCCATTCCCTGCTCTCAATAAAAAAGGCTGGGGGAAAAAATAGCACTGATCAGACTTTGAGGTCATGACTTTTAAACACATTGCAGACTTAGTGAATCTGAGGGCACAGTGTAACTCCTAACCAGGAAGTTGAACCAAGCTGCCGGTTGACTTGGTGGCTGAATCTGTGGTTTCTCCATTAACATCACCCTCCAGGAATCTCAGACTACTCTTAAATTCTACTTCAGGCCTGAGGACTGGATGTTGTTGTTA